ACAAAATACAGTCAGGTGTTAGGTTATGTAAGTAGAATAGAACTAATCCAGCCCAGTCTCAATCTTTGCTAACACTTGAACTTCATCCTCCTTAGAGTAATTCCAAAAACCCCTAAGACCTCCTTACTAACAATTTGAAAAATGTAGGTTTTTATCTAATATTATATTTTTTTTATTTTTAATTATTTTTCATTTTATTTTAAATTATTAAGAGTAGCGTAAAGTTTTTATTGTTCATTCGGTTTTCTTTTGCATTATTTCATGCAAAATATGATTGCTAATTTCGCACGTTCGGGCATAAGCATCGTGGTCAAACAGCCAGGGCGCAAGATTGACATTCACAGGTGCCCGGGTTGAATCCCGGTCGGGTACAAATACAAAAACAACAAAAGTAAAATAAGGGTTTTACTTTTGTTTTTTAAGCTATTGCACAGCTTCTATCGCGGGCCTTGAGCGTGGAGACCGAATCCAGAAATTCCGTAACGAAAAAATCCTGACACCCCCCACTCCGACCGGCACAGCGGTGATACTTTTTAGTTTTTCCATCTATCGATAAATACCAGAACTTTTAATGACTTTTTGAAATATCACGCTTGTCTCTTTAGTTCAGCAACCCGCCTTTAGGTGGCATTGGTTGTATTGGAAAACTACCGTAATCAGCTGTTTGTGAGAAAGTATATAGGTGTATAGGTATTTATCATCTATGTACAACAGGGAATATCTGTACTCGTATAATTTGTGTACAAAGTGTTTTAAATATGAATAAAAAAGTGCATTTATTAATGAAGAAAGTCAAGGAAAAAAAGTACTGCATTAATAAAACAAATAAATAATTATAATTGCATAAGTTGATAAAAAAAACTATGGAATAGCTTTACCGCGGCAGTCTCCGAGTGCCACATTTAATTTTTTGTATATATCCAAGGTACTTGTTTTTTCTTATCTAAAAAATACGATATAACAAAAATAAATAAACAAATAAATAAAAAGAACTCCGAGTGAAGCTTGGTCCCCAGGTACTTCTTGTTCTATATTAGAATTCATAATTATAAAAACCTAGAACGAAATATAAAGTAAAATAAAGATAAATACAGTTTCAGTCTTAGTTTAAAATTAGAGTTTAATAATAATAATAATATTCATAAATAGAATTGAAAATACGTAAATATTTTTCAGAGGCTGTTTTATAATAGAGCGTGTACATAAGGTTATACGTATACGTATACGCGCGCGCACACACAACTTCATAAGGGAGTCGAGAGCGGTGGTGTAGAAGGGGTATGATGATGGCACCGTCACGCCACCGTTTGCCATAGCACCACAAGTTGGTTTTACTGCCAAGGCGCACCAATAAATGTTCCACATCAAAAAAAATTGCTTCTCAAAGTAATTAAATTTTATATGTTACGTGCTCGAAATACATTCTACGCCGATAGGTAGATTAAAAAGAATAATACCACAACCATCTTTCATAGTATGATAAAAAAAAAACAATTTTATATTATTAAATTTTAGAGTCATAAGCAACCAAACATATTTAAGCATAGAAGTACTAGGGCGTGAAGTAATTGTTAAGTAAATTATTAAACGATCATAATATGTTAAATATTCATATGTGTGTATATAAATTAAAACACGTTTTGTTGAGCTTGTATTTTTTGTCTTGTGCTAAAGTACAAGAAACAATTCTTGAATGATTATCATCAGCCCCTTCTTCCAAGAAGTCTCAGCAGCAACTGAAGAAGTTTTAGGCACTCACGAGATTTAGTAGCATTTTATCATCTATAATATAATAAAATTCTGGGTCAAATCTGTACATTATATATTTTATGGAAAATTTTATTGAAATAGTCATTATTATCGATACAGAGGCCAAATCTATAATTTTTAGAATTTTTGTCTATCTGTCTGTGTGTCTTTCTAGGAACGCATCACGAGAAAACCACTGAACAGATTTTGATGAATTTGGTATGATGATAACTGGTTATCCGAGTGCACATTTAGGATACTTTTTACTGTGGGAAAATATCTCATCTCTGAGAAATGTATAACTAAACGTTAAAATGTAACGTTAAAATGTAACGGAGCGAGGGTGAGCTGCTAGTCATTTGAATAAATTAATAAGTTATCCCCATGAACGAATTAACCACAATTCGTTCATGGTTATCCCTTATATAAGATTTTTCGATTTAAATGTTTAAGACGTAAAACCCTTACTTTAATCTCTAAGAAAATTACAAACATTGACGACACGTTTGGCTCAGCTTATAGTGACCCGACTTTCTGTGCCAGCGGTGGCGGGTTCGAGTCCCGCTGGGGGCATTCATTTGTGTGATGAACACGAATGTTTGTACTCAGTCATGGGTGTTTATATTTATAATATGTATGTATTTAAAGTTATATATGTGTAGTGTATCAACTATCTGGTATCCATAACACAGGCCTCGTAGCTTACCATGGAACTAGATGGTGCTGTGTGTTAATGTCCCAACATATTTATTTATTTATTTAAACATATATAAAATCCTATGGAAAAGTTTATATGCCACATCCACAATGATCTTTCAAGGGTAACATTATTTTTGCGTTATTTGTAATCGGTAAGGAAAAACTTGAAAACGAATAAAACTTACGACTAATGACTAATGTACGAACTACCGCAGCTGCAATCAATCTTGTAGACATCCGGTGTTTGGTACGTCATTACATCCTTCGACGTTCGCATACGTTTTCCAAGTTTGGAAAGTGGAACTTATATACGGTCTTAATGGAGAATCTTCTTAGTAATCATACAATTTTGTCCGTTATTCTTCTCATATAAGACATAAACGCGGGTTGTCGGTTGACCTCTGGATGTTTCGTACGTATGCCACGGTGACTTCGATTACTTCGACTAACTTTGTACCCGTTGCTCTTAAGTACCTTCTGAACATCTAAATCTTCATGGTCACATAATCCATAGGCTCGACTCAGATAGACGTCACAATCGCTTGTAAATGAAGCGTCTGTTCGTGAGTATACGTTACCAATATACAGTGTGCCCCAGAGAGACATTCTCTAGCACATTAAATTCACTCTGTCATAGTCGGATACTGAAAGGCACTGATGTCAAAGCTTTTTCCTCGAAATGTTCCATCCAGATGTTTACTAAAGCTGGTGCTACAGGACTACGTACTCTATCAATCTGAAGGTAGTGTTGACCTTGGTATAAAAAAGGGGCCGTCTAAGCAGTGTTGAAGCAGAACTACGCAACTATCTGATCATAACAAGAAAACATATATTAAAATAATTTATAGTGATGAGTTAGGGAAAGGTATGGGTGTAATATTAAATGATTTTGGTGGGGGCCAGGGAGTTACTTATTATTGTATACACTGATTGATAACTCCCTGTACTAACTGTGTCTCGTTTACATAGACTCAGTAATTCTTTTTATGGACAATGTATATTGTATACTAGCGATTCACCCTCGCTTCGATCGGGTTCGTCCCTAGGTATATTTTAGTATTTTTGAGCGAAACCCTAACTCTTTTTCTAAAAAAAGTAGCCTATGTTACTCCCTATAACATCAGCTGAACCAGTGAAATTCCATCAAAATCAGTCCAGCCGTTGCAGAGATTATCCGGAACAAACAGACAGACAAAAATTTAAGTACCAAATATAATTTCATTACCATTTAGTAAAACGCTGTTATTTTGACATTACAAACAGACACTTCAATTTTATTTATCTTTATACATACGCTTTTACAACAAGATCTCAGAAAACGTTCAAAAGCTTCTATCGTCAAATTCAAAAACAAAATGTTCAAGAACGTTTGTATGCTATATTTTATTATACAATTAATAATTTTATAGGTGACACGTCTTGTAAATAAAGTTATCGCCAACTTTATAGAATTATTGTAAATTTTAATTTAACTTACAAAAAAGATAAAGTAATAATATTAGTCCCGCTGAGTTTCTTGGGCCAGTTCTTCAGTTCTAAGGCTTCTTATTTCCGAACTGATAGTAGACTCGTAACGTTCAGTAAAAAATTATAATAATTTAATGCCGAATAAAATATTGTGAATCTGAATCACCTCATCTTTCAGCGGAATGTACATAAGGATTCAACGTCAAAACTTACCATAAACTCATCAGGTTCCAACTGGTTTCCAGTACCGTTTTTACCATTAGGGCACACGGAGCACCGGCCCAGGGCCCCCAGCCTCAAGGGAGCCCCGCAAAGACAAAATATTCGTTTACATGGAACAGAGAGCTTGATTTTTTCCTATTATTACTATGAACTATCGATTTTTTTAATTATATAAATATAAAATTTTACCAGATTTCGTATTATTTTCAAAACAGTAAACGTTTCACAAAGAAAAAAATGAAACATCTCTAGTAAGACTGAGTCCGTTCGGCTGAATAAAGATCTTACTGGCTGGATAACCATCTTGTTAACAGACCCGTTGCTACTAATTTACTGCTTTAATTTTTGAATATCGACAAAAATTAATAGTCTCATATCTTATTTTACATAACCTCATAAAAACCAAATTCTCATCAAAAAAATAAATTAGAATGGATTTTTCCGAACTTAGAAGTTGCTGTAAGTATATTCCTTTGCTTAATAGTCACTATTACTAATACAATACATTAAAAGAATAACCAATTTAATATGAGTCAAATATTCCATAATACAAAAATGACCTGGTACTTTAAATAAATATTTATTAAAACTTCGTCTTATGCTGCGTATACACCGGCCCAACGAAAAAGGAGTCCGTGTGTAGTGTACGCAGCATAATGCAAGTGCACTTATAAAAAAATACCTAAAAAAAGTAATGAAAGAAGGTTATATTCCTGTATATTATACCATAAAGGTATAAATATAAATAAAACAAAAATTTTAATTAAAAAATTACTGTCAACTTTGACGCTAATATCATATAGTATACTGAAAGTTTTTAATATATTTCTATTATTTTTATATACGTACATGAATATAAAGAAATGGATTCTCAGGGAACTTTGAAAAGACGCCAGTTACCTAAGCTAATGGCTTGTATGACTAAGAATAGTCTAGAAAATCTGAGAAACAGAGCCTTATTTGGTTTAGATTCATTAGATGCGAAAGGAATTCGAAGGTGATTATAAAGGTCAATACTGCGTGTAGGAATCTCATTTTAATTATAGTGCAAATTTAATTGATGATATAATTTATTCTAGGCGGAAGTTACCCTTACACGAATGTCTTATTTTAGAACTGAGAGAAAGTGGTTACACTGAATCATCGGATTACTTACAGGATCTCATATATGATAACCTGCAGCTTCTAGCCGAGGATGACATAGGCATCGTTGTTGATCTTAGGAAGAAAGAAGACTATTTAGAACATATCAGTGCAGGACTTATAAAGGCGGAAAAATATCGTGACAAAGGTCCTTTGCTGCTGTTTACTTTTAACGTGTAGCAAATAAATCAAGTAATTTTAAAGTTAAGTGACCTTAAGTTTTAAAGTTACATATCAGTAACTTTAACATATTAATTCCCTTTCGGAATATTTTGATTCTTAATAAATTTTAATAACAACAGGCTTTTTAACCGACTTCTAAAAAGGAGGAGGTTCTCAATTCGTCGAAATCTTTTTTTTGTATTTAAGTTCACCGATTACTCGGAAGACGTCGGAACCGATTTTGAAAATTCTTTAAAAAATAATTAAGTTCTTGAAAAAGCTTCCCAGGTGGTCCCATTTAAATTTTATCGAAATTATTCGAGCGGTTTTAAAAAAAATCTACAATAAATTATTTTTAAATAATTGTCTTAATCGAATATGTTATTAAAAAAGTTTCCTCTTATAAATTACCTGCTTACGTCTACTCGACGTCACGTCTTTATATCTACACTAAAAATGGAAAAATAAAAACATAAAAAAAACCCGACTTCCAGGCACTAAAATGTAAAAAATACCTAAACGGGTATTTTCATTTATAATATATACCTAATCAGATATTTTCGAAGTCGGTCCAGCCAAAGCACACTGTGAAGTGAAAAGCCCCGTTTAGTAATTTTTTTACTTTTTAGTGCCTGGAAGTTGGTTTTTTTAAGTTTTTAGGTTAACTCCAAAACTGGTTTTCTACCAAGAAGTCAATCAATCCGCCGAAATTCAATAGTTTATAAACACTTAAAAATTTATTGTACGAGTATAATTAAATGTATGTAATTACTACTTTGCAGATAATACAAAAAAGGAATGCTTAGAGCTATTAGGGCTTGCATTACATTATGCTGAAAAGGGAAAAGGAATTTTATGGCTTGCCGAGAAATTTTTCCTAGCAGCTATTGCCGTATCTAGTCAATATTTAATAGACGGAGGACGACAAAAAGGCTGCTGTAAATATCACTATGCCAGTTTTTTACTTGACAAATGTAAGTTTCCTAGATTTTTTACTGAAAAATAAAGAAAAGAAAACTTAATGAAACGACATCCCGCATTCCTCAAATGTTAAAAAATACAACGATACCTTCCAAAATTAAAATTTTATATAACTAGCGAAATCCTCGCGTCCGCTTCTCGTCCCCAGATGCTTAACAGTAGCGTATGTTGCTCAAGGTCAGAGTTTATATATATATATATATATATATATATATATATATATACAAAATCATATTAGTGCAGCCGCTTTTTACTTTAATCTATCTTTAACAGCTAGTAACCCCCATTTGTGGCCACTTTTACATAGGCAGATAGATGTATTTTATCATGCACAGCAAAAAAATAGTTTTAATTTGATATATAAATATTGAATATACACAATGAACGTAACAAAATATTACCTGCTTACACGTGGCTACGAAGAGGTTGCGGCCAAGTGCCCAACGGCAACTATCACTTTTCAAATTCTCTACGTATATTTCTGTGAAGTGGAGTATAACTTATTTTAATAACAAGTGAAACGATTTTGTTCCAAAAAGTCAATTTTATTAATTGAATTTAAAATACTAGCGGGCACATCTTAATAGGCAACCTGGCCAAAACATGGCATATATATATATATTATAATTCTTCTGTACGTGTGTTTGTTACCCTAATCCTCCTAAAGGGATAGACCGATTTGGATGAAATTTTGTGTGTATATTTCAATGGGCACCTGGATGGTATGAAACTGAATTGGACCCGGTAAGTGACTCGGTAGTTCGTATCGACTGCACCAAATTGGATAATTCTTGTTTTTGTTTGTTATTGTCATAAAGTTTTGTATAGAAAAATTAAAAAAATTTTTTTTTTACTAAAATAAGTTTTTTTTTCAAAATCTCATGATATTATATAAAAATATATTTTATGAAAATTTAGTGACACACCGACTGCAGCGCCGCCTACCGGATCCATTTGTGAATTAAATCCTTGCAGGGACCCACTCGAACATACACAAAAAATATCATTAAAATCATCCCTGCCATTTAGGAGATGATCAGTGGTACACTGACTGCAGCGCCACCTACTGGGTCCATTTGTATTTTTAAACCTTGCCAGGAGCCCATTGAAATATACAAATAAAATTTCATTAAATTGATCAAGCCCTTTTCCTAAAGGCTCCTCACTCCTCCTTACTCCTCCTGGAGTAGGCTAACAAACCCAATATAGTTTTTTTGCACTTTCGTTTTAATATTATGAAGTATAGTATACAGTAAAAATATGACGATTAATTAACTACCAATTAACTTATTGCATATCGTATTTAAACTCATAGTATTCTGTGTCAACGGCGACGACAACGTGACCGCGTCGACAAGGCAAAAAAATATCGTCAGCTGTTATTATCCCCTTAGCGTCCAAGATTCATAATTACAAAAATAATAAATACATACTTTAAAACAAGTAGGTATATAATTTAGAAAAAAGATGCCGACGAATTGAGAACCTTCTCCTTTTGGAAGTTGGTTAATAATCGTATTTAATTAGAACATGTTACATTAAGAATGTTAAAACAAGAACGCCTCCTGGATTACCTATAACTTACGTACGTCAACGTTGACCTTGATAAAATGAATATAAAGAACATGACGCAATCTAGCATTCAAAGTTCAAAATAAATTACTATCTATAATATTATTTACATGAATTTACCTCCTTAATTTCGGTTGTAAATAGTTCTGTTAAGTTAGGTATTAATCTATGCTTATAATAAATAAGTTACTAAATATTATAGGTCGAAGCTGTGAAAAAAATATTACTATTAAGTAAAAATAATATACAAAGGTGTGCTTAAAGGGTGTTTACTAATTAAGGACTCAATTTTTTCTTGTTGTGTGTGCAAGTGCAAAAAAGCGGTGCGAAAAAAAAAATCACAATGCACTGTCAAATTACACAAAATTAGGTTAATCGGTCCACAGGGAGGTCCAACAGATGTTCATATTATATTAAATATAATAAATACTCCTCATATGTGATGCAGAACTTTACAATTATGAATCTTTTTCTAAAACATGCTCTCAACTTCTCGAATTTCCATACCGTGATCCGTACCTCCAAGATAATTTCTAAGAAATTAATTGTTCACCAAGCTAGCGAGGGTGGCTCGGCGGTCGTTGACAGGTTTAAAATCGAAGATATGGAGTACATAATATGTTATATTAGAAAATTAAGAAACTAAACTAATAAAATGTGTAGATAGAAAAAAGCTATTTGTTGTTCTTGCGTTTTCTTTTTAATTTTGTAAAAAAATATCAATATAATAATATACTCATAATGTTACGAGCCATCGTCAATTGTGGGTAGAATATTTTTGTTAGGATATCGTTGTTAGAAAAAGTTACCCTATTATAATTCTAAAATATTTTGTTTGCAAATCTGCAGTTCCAGAAGCAGATCCCGAAGAACCCTTTGAAATTCTTACAGAAGTAAGGGATAGTGCTATAGGAAAGGTATATAATCAAATTATTATATTATATACTCGCATTACTAACGTTCAGATGACCAAGAACCAAATTCTTAGGTTTTACATATTAGTATACTCTTACATTGCAGTTTTTGTATTTTTTCTCATTTTCCTGCGGTAAAAATATCCTATATGTTAACTCAGATAACCAGCTATCATCATACCAAGTTTCATCAAAATCCCTCCAGTGGTTTTTCTGTGATGCGATGATAATATTTTAAGATATGAATATCTAATAAATAAATATGTATTTTACGTATCGAAATATATTAGATTTGCTTTGCATCGGCTGGCACCGACTTCGAAAATATCTGATTAGGTATCTATTTTAAATGAAAACCCCCGTTTAGTTATTTTTTATATTTTAGTGCCTGGAATTCGGTTTTTATTTATTTTTTTAAAAGTTTTTATAACAAAGACAATGATAGTGAAAACAAAAATTTACAAAAATTGTTATTTCCAAAATCACTCCTTTTTTTTTTAACGTTGGAAATGCATGTACGCACGACGTGTGGGACTTACCGGCGTAATACAGCCAGTACTACCCACTAAAACCCAACAAAACCTTCCCCCGTCTTAATGGGGCGTCGCAGGATCGCTTACGCATTCAACTACGACGCCCCGACGGCAGGTCCGCCGAAGCAGACCACCACAACCATGGGGTTGCTCCACAGTCCACTCTGCTATCAGAGAAGTACCAGGAGCAACCCGCATGGTACACCGCCCTCCGAAGAGGGCCACCTCCCACCGCCCACCGAAGTGGGCAACCTCCCTGTGCGTTTCTTAGCTTCGCTACTGCTACTGAGCCCCCCCACCACGACAAGGTGAACGCACGTTGGGGGGGTCCAAAATCACTCCTAAACTAGGAGTGATTTTAGAAATGCTGAATACTGCCGCTCGATCTCGTCAATCTCGGCCGAGATCTCGTCATTTTATGCTTCGAGATTGATCTCGAATATTGAGGCAAGATCTCGTATGATCGGGATCTCGCGAGATCGAGATTGCATTCCCTACTCGAAACCCAGCTATAATGAATGGACTTGGCTGATTTTGGATTTTTTAAAATTCTTATATTAAAAACTAAAAAGTTTACCGAAGTTTTAGTTTAGAGAAAAGTTTAAAAAGAAACTTTTTAAGTTTAAATGCACTCGACTAATTGTATTTATCTTATTTAGTTCTTAATTTTAATTAAATATCAATTCATATATTGCTTTGTTTTTACCAACTGCCCATCACAATGTTTATATCTAGGACTGGCTTTTGTACGAGCCTGAGAATGAAGACGATGAAGTTCCATCAGACACTTTATTTTCTGCAACTGCAACACTATTACATAGAGTATTACTAAGTAAAGCTCGCACATGCAGAGATACCGACTCCGCAAAATCGGAGACATTATCAAGATTAGCTGAAAGAAGAGCACGTGATGGTAGGTATACTAATATTATAAAGAGGAAAGTTTTTTTTTGTTTGTTTGTTTGTACCGAATAGGTTCCGAAACTACTGAACTGATTTAGAGGAAATTTGGTAAAAAGTTAGTTTGTGACCCTTGGAAGGATAGTATTTATCCCGGAAATCATCCCTTGAGCGAGTGAAAATGGGGATGAAAATTTGTATGGGGAAGCAAACTAGGGACGAACCCGAGCAAAGCGAGAGTGAGTCGTTAGTGTTAAATATTTACTTGATCTTTGTCTCTATCTATATCTTTCGACTTGAAATAAACCCGCTATATTCAGTGTTAGTATGTACTCGTAAGTTTATACGAGAATAATAAAGTAACAATTTTTATAAATACCTTCAATATATTTAATTTTTAATACTCTTTCTGGTTATAGATAGTATAATAATAGCAACATTAAATAATATTAGTAATTAATAAAGTTTAAAAAAAAAATGTAATATTTATAATAATATCAACTAAAATTAAATAAATAATATTGCTATATTTCACTACAATATTTATTATTTTTTTTAAAATGTTTAGAAATAAAAATCAATAAATATTTAAGGTACTTTGGTGCCATTTTTGTATGTTTGAAATCATTTTTGTAAAATTATGGGTAGGCACTGTCTGTAACAAGTATATTATGTGTTTGAGACGTCTATAACCTTAGACTCCAACATGATTGGTGTAAAGCATTCGAATCGTCGGGAACCAAAAATCAAAATAAAACAAATCCGCGAAATAATCTGAAAAGGTAGTTTTATTTAAAATGTCAAATATTCGTGTAAATCTAAGAGAGTATAAAGTTTTTTTTTTAATTTTAACTATTTGCCATCGTTGAAAACACGTGGCCATTTAAGGTATAATCATGATATTTTGTAGGCGTCAAATTGGGATGGCCATGATATAATAAAACAATATTGTAACTTAATTAAAAGGGTCATAATGAAATTATAGAGAATAAAAGGTCGTAAAGGAAAGATCTGCTTACGATTTGTAGTCTTCTTGTTGCATATAGTACTTAAATTAAAAGCTAACGGCTTTTAATTCCATTGAAAATGAAAATAATTATTTAAATAAAATGGTTATATAATAAGAAAATGAAAATTATAATTTCATTGAAATTTAAATTACATAATTATTTTTTTAATATCGTACAGTACATAAAATGTTGAAAACAACTTGTGGAAAAATTTTCGTTGTACTCTTCAATATTAAATGAAACGTTCTTGGTATTACAATCGTAAAATGTCACCTTGAGCCGGTTGGCAATTATATGAACATATATGTAAATGAGTGTTCAAAGATTTACGAACTTAATCTAGCAACCTATAAACCACCTATAAAGAAAATCAATTACCTACTGTAGGTATGTTTAGCGTATAGTAGAATTATATGTAGATCGTTTGCTTATGATTTCAAAATGTATGTGTATGTATGTATTCATCCCTTTTTAACGTCGCGCTGTTGGGCCCGAGCCTCCCTTTAATGCGAGGAATAGGAGGATCAGGCCATTGCCCACCACGCTGGCTAAGTGCGGGTTGGCGGACTTCTCTTTTCCTTTCGAGTACTTGCTAGGTTCACTCAAACATGCAGGTTTTCTCACGATGGTTTTCTTCATGATAAGACAGAGGTAATTATGTAGGAAATGATTCGCACATGGAAATATCAGAGGTGCGAGACCCGGGATTTGAACCCGCTTCACTTGGTTTCTCAAGCGAGCGCACTACCAATGTGCTACCACGGCCTTTTCAAAAAAAAAAACATTTCAAAATACCTATAGCATATTTAATAAGCTACATATTATATGTATGTATTGATTGGGCAGAGGTTTGAGTACAGAATACCATAAGCTTCGTGTTTTTTTTATATAGGGGATGAAAAATAAACTCTGAAGTTTAACGGAGAATGTTTTATCTATTTTAAAGGGAATTTCAATTGCAGCAACGAATTCAAATAATTATATATTTATTTTATTTTATAATTATAATATAATCACTCTCATAATATAGGCTTAGGTTAGTACAAGATGATAGTCTATATATCATCATTGTAACAAGCAAGAGGTATCGTGGGCGAAAGCTTATTTTAAATGAAATATATTTTTACATTACGTTTCAAACAAAGCAAGAGTTAAAAGAACTTAAGAATGATACTTTCTTAGATTTACGCGAATGTTTAACATTTTTAAATATAATTATCTTTACGGATTATTTCACGGATTTATTTTGATTTTTGGTTCCCGACGTTTCGAATGCTTTACAACATCCATGGTCACGGGAGAGACTGAGGTGTTACATATCTTGAAGGATAGTTGTTACAGACAGCCTACCCACTTGTTGTAATGTAATTGGTGCAATTTTCATTCTGTTAATTGTGGGTAGGCTGTCTGTAACAACTATACCTTCAAGACATGTAACACCTCAGTCTCTCCCGTGACCATGGATGCTGTAAAGCATTCGAAACGTCGGGAACCAAAAATCAAAATAAATCCGCGAAATAATCCGAAAAGATAGTTTTATTTAAAAACTTAAGAATGATCACGAACTACCTCTAATTCTCTAGTTCACGATCTCTCGTAAATATATGTAATTATTAAGTTGTTTTTATTAGCAGCGATTATGTATCTATGATAATTTTAAGGAAACAATTTTCCCAATGAAATAAAATAAACAAATCGATATTATTTAATGAAATTTTGTTATTACGAGTACATAGAGCTTTTAATATGTTATTATGTATTATTGCAACATTTTTTTCGATATTTTAGCTAATGATACACCGAAGACAGCCGAAGCGATAATAGAAATTGGTATAAGCCAATTACTAATGAATAACTTGAATAACGCTCAAAAAACTTTTTCTAAAGCTTTCAAAATCTATGAAGAAAGTAACGATATCGACGGTCTGTGTGAGACACGAATGCATTTGGCAGCTGTTATGCAAAGGTACCTATTCCTTTTTAAGGCGTCAGCTCATAGGTATAATATAATAATAACACAAAATTTTTGTTACCTTTTAAAATCATATAAAAAGCATATACAATTGTAGCCTGTTGCTAAAGAGGTGAGCGTTGATAACTGCCACTCTGTGTATAACTAATGCAGTTATTGATATAGAAACTGTTTATAATATTATATGCCAAAATGATGTTCTTAGTAAATAAATAAATAAATAAATAAGTATATGAGAAAAAAAAAGTACTAAACTGAAATACCTATACAATAAATATATACGTAACCTTTAAATAGATGTATACCTATCGGGTTAGTTTATTTGTAATTATATTATACATAATTTTTAATAATAAATTTGTACACGTTATCGAAAATGATTTGAAAATAATGATTTTCATTAAAATGGCGGTGACTGGATTTATTCAATTCAATTCTTTATTTAATGCGTGCCATGCGTTGAGCACAAATTATTTCGCCAATGTCACGTTGAATGAACTAGATTTACGTAGTGGTTATTTTTAGAACTAATGACAGTAGTTTACGGTACTATTTACTTATTTATCAATAGCAGCTTTTATTTCAACATAATACATATACTAAATACATAGAGACTTAACCGGTGGAAGTAAGCTTTACGACTTTCCGGTACCTAAGCAATCTGTTAACCGCTAATGTACAACAATAGAAATAATGTTGTCATATTGAAAATTAAAATGCGCAATGTTAAGTTCGTCGTTCTTTGACACTACATTTTGTTTCAACTTGTTTTATACATTTGAATTACGAGTAACTTATTTACAATGCAAACAATGTGGAAAATGAAAAACGCCTTTTCAGTTTATAAGTACCGAAATACAATGTATGATTTTGTCAAAACAAACAAACAACAACAAACAATAATTAATTTAATGGATTTAATACACTACAGTTTTCAAATTATGATTTGCATTCAAATTACACATGAATTACAAAGTTTTAAATTGTTACGACAATTAGGATCAAATTAAAATTGACTTCCTAGGTTAGTTTACATAAGTCGTTAATTTGATATTTTATTTTCGTTGTCTACATTCTTGTGAAGTTAATTATATATAGCACGATAATAATACAACCATAAAAAATATTACTTTGTAATTTCCTCTATAATATTTTTGAAGTTACCTATACTTCTTTTGGCGCTTTAAGAAAAAAATGATGAGAGCGATTTTTTTACGATTCGACTGATTTAGACTATAATAAGAAGTTCAAAGTCAACTAAAAGGGCTTGAAAGAGACGTCATTGTAAATCCAATATGGCGGACTCCCGAAGATGGCGGACTATTTTTTTATGCACCCCCATGACATGGACATCAGATGAAAAGGTTTGGTAAGAATATTACGAATAAAATAAAAAACTAATAAAAAATGCTCAAAAAAACAAACAAAGAAGTATAACTTCTTACGTACGTGCATAAATACACACACACACACTTTTAATAAATATCATGTCATAATATTAAACAGAAGCAATAAAAATTAGTGAAGTAATCTGTGCTCAACTGGCACGTTTTGAAGCCATTAGCAAGAGAATTGAATTGAATTATGAAACACTAAGATTTGCATTCGTATAAAATTTATTATACTAAAATTAAATATACTAACCATTCCGCTTAGCGAACGTGCAATTCCATGCGATGCAATTACAACGTGTTCCACAATATGTAGTGCAGTCAAATATTTTGCCTTTGCACGTGCCAAAGATGTCATACTGAGTGCATTACTCGAATCTAGTGATTAACGCATTACTTGCGTCTGATATTCTTGAAAATAATTAAATGTTCACGTATAATTAATTATTCAATAATTGTACTTAAAGTAAAAAATATTTTATTACACACACTAATAATTGTAAAGTAAAAAATATTTGATTACTCACACTAATAATTATAAAGTAAAAAATATTTTTGTTACATTAATTATATATCTACCATAAGCTAATTTCCATTTAAAACAAAAACAAGCTGGTATTAACTACGTATAAGCATAAATTTTAATTCAGTTTGCGTAATGTTCTAGTAAAAAGAAAACAGAAATCACGTACCTACAAGTGTTTCATTCCAAGCATTATTTTAAATAAATAATAGGGTAAAAACATTAAGTTTCACCATATTCTTAGAATTAAGTTTTATATGGGTAATAAATCTAAATTATGTGTTATCAACATTTCTTGTATATATTATTTGTTTCCTAGATTTACGTGAATATTCGACATTTTAAATAAAACTATCTGTCTGACTAGAGTAGTTTCTCTCGTATGGTTACGGGTACGTATGGTACGGATTGCTATAAAGCATTCGAAACGTCGAGAACTTAAAATCAAAAGAAATCCGAGAAAATATCCAAAAAGATATTTTTATTTAAAAAATCTTTTATAATTCAGAATGGACGAAGACGAAGTGCTATACTATTTTATCTGGTTTCCTTATAACCTTCTTTTATCATATCCTTCTTCCGTCTTACTTTTATGGTCAATCTCGTTGCCTCATCGATCTGGCGGCTCTGTTAAGTTTTCAATAGCAACCCGGAGTTGGCAAGTTGGCGATTTTACAACTTACATAGTACATACACCTTCGTGCCTAGTTGTGATGAATTGTCTTCTCAATGGACTTTGAGAACGAAAAAGAGTGCACTTGTATTTAAGCATTCTTTAATGGAATTCATACGCAGTTGGTTGTTGGTTACTCTCGGTGTGATACCGTGACCGATTTTATTGATATTACCAGTACAATTTTTTATTGCAGTCGCTCAAGAATGATGCGGAACTTTGTAGATGTAGAGCTCCGGTAGAAAACAAAAAATATGCATTTTAATTTGTATTATTAAGCAATCCGATTATATCTACATTATTTTTTTACGAAATTTTTTGGTATATTTTTTATTACTGTTACCAAAAAAACTTACATTTAGATTATTACATAAAGATCCGTCTTGGCGAATACGATAGCGTGATTGTTTGATCAGTCTTTCCTAGCATCCCGTAATACGATAGCTTTTCCTTTTGATTTTTCGGTCACAATATCTAATAGAAATAGTTAAAATTTTAACCAACTTAAATATAATATGTCGTTTACAAAAAAAACACCTTACATTCGGAAGTTCGACGAGGATTTCCAAATTAAAGCCTTCTTTCACAAATTAAACAGTTGAGTGTATTTTTGTTATTTCTTCACATAGAAACGGCTCGACGACTTCTGATGAAAAATACATACATGGACTATATGTCTATAACCAAGAGTAACATTTACCTTGGGACATACTCGAGCGAAACGACTTTGATAAAAAATAATTAATATAATAAGTCACGGTCACCACTTTATTTTTCAATTACAATAGAATTATAATACATTAACTTATTTTATATTCCAATTAAAATATTTTATTTATGTTTAGTTTTCATAGCCAGTACATTCCATCGGGGTTATACTGATCAATAAAGTATGTGTAATGTATATATTAATACCTATTTACATATCTACTAAGATAGATATTGCGACTCTAACAATTACTATGTGGCACAATAAATTATTATCGGTTTTAAAATCATATATTTATTTACGTATACTTTTTATAATATTGTATTTGGGTTGAGCTTATAATATAAAATATTGAAGTGTGCTATTTTCTGAATGTATATCAGACAGTAAATTTCCATAATATCCTCGACGCAACTCACACATGACCAATTTTTTAACCTTCGTGAGAGGCCTCCGTAGAGGGATACTATCTGACTAAGGTGATTTTCAGATAAAGTTATATAAAGCATTCGAAAGGATTTCTGTTCTTCTAGATTGCTTACTCGACCAGTTAGTAATTCATGTAATTACCATGTTGAAATAACAATAATAAAGCCTGTTTATTTCCTTAATAAATATCACAACACAATCATTTCTTTTTTTTTTAAGCCAAAACGTGCAAAATATTTTTAGTTTTATTAATAGTGCAAATAATAAATATTTTTTTTACATTTATATTTGTGTAACACAAGTTCCCTAATATATTAATAGATATTGATCACAGCATAATGTTTCCTTTTTTTTTCTATCAAAATATGATGCCAAACATTTTTTTTTATAAATAGACGAAATAATATATTTTTTTAAATTTATATTTGTGTCTCTTAAAATCTCTGCTTTATTAATAATTTATTAATCACAATTAATCATTTCATTTTGAAATCGAAGACATGCAATATATTTTTAATAATTATCTATTAATAGTGCAAGTAATAAATATAGTTTTTTTTACATTTACGTTTGTGTAACTCAAATTCTCTAATTTATTAATAGATATTAATCACAATTTATCAAATCATTTTTAAATCAAAACTTGCAATACACTTTTTATTTTTTTATAAAATAATGCAAATAATAAATATTTAAATTGATTACTTTTATGCTTAATAGATTATAGATAAATAATAGCAATGTACTAATAAAGTAAGACACTAATAGTGATTGGACAATTTATAGACTCGGTGAGTATGATGCAGCTTCAAAGCTCCTAACAGAAATGGGGGCGCTTGCAATGGAACACGGTCTTCGAAGGCAGCTTGGTCGAGCTTTACACCTTTTAGGCGAGTTACATTTGAGACGCGAGAGACCAGAGCTGGGTACTCAGCATTTAAGAGAAGCTTTTCAATGTTTCATGGGATTGGATTGGCAAATTGTATATTATATTTTATTTCTAAATTAATTTTAAGTACAGTCATCAAGAGGAAGGAAAGCTAATAATACTATTTCATGTATTTAGTGTTAGTAATTTTATGATGAAATTTAAAAACCAAGCACAATGTTGTCTCAGCAAATTTTTTCGAATATAAATATACAGTACATATAAACAGCTGGTACATGATATGAACGGCCAAATAAAATAAACATAAACATAAACATGTGATTCGTTCATACGTAAAACCTTAAAGAAACAAAGGGAACAAGGAAATATTTTTCAGCTTAATAAGGTGTTCCCAGGGGATGGTGGTTCAGCTTTTATATTATTTTAACAATAAATTAGTATTAAATTACCTCCTACCAAAAAATACCTTTATCAAAGACCGTTAAGAGTAAAAAGTCTTAAACGTGATCGGTGTTGTTTGTAAAACTTAGTTATTTATGTATTTATATTGTATATATAAAATTATGTAGTTTTTTTGTTTGTAGAAAGTATTAATCTTATTTGGGATTAATAAAAACATTTTACAGTCGTCTGAAACATTTGTTAGAAAACAAAAAGTAAACGAGAGCAGCTTAGATGTTATTTACAAGACACATAATATCGAAATCTATGAAGAGGAAGCGGAACAGTCGAGACTTATGATGGCCATATCAGCTGGTACGAGTTTCGAGTACGAGTTACGAGCATTCTCGTTTTTGACAACGATAAAAACTTAAAATTATATACAATATGTATATATTTTTTTCTGACAATAATTGCAAGTTATATACTTATTGGTTACTAGCATTGCCCGCGACTCCGCTCGCGTTCAGATGACCAAAAACCAAATTCTTAGGTTTTACATATTAGTATACTCTTACATGCAGTTTTTTTTTATTTTTTCTCAGAAATGAGATATTTTCCCGCAGTAAAAAGTATCCTATATTTGATTTTGTATGTTAGGCATAGTACCTACTTATAAAAGTTTTTGCATACGTTTTAAATTATAGTGGTATCATATATTTGTTTATCATTTGATTTTATTTAAAGTGATTATTCAAATATTATTAATTTAATTCTTTGAAAATAGAATATTTAAATACTTTCCACGTGTCTGTATTTCCATATTCATAATTATGATTATTTAATTAAAGTGAATATAAAATGCTCGCACTATATAGCTTGTAGCATTTTTGAACACATTGAAAATGTTCGAGCTTTTCCACATAAAAACTAATTTTATGTACATATATTTATTTGTTCATACATTTTTAGATTCCGTATTTATGCCAAGTGTCGCATGATCAAAGCTTACTCGGGCCAAATATGTATCGTCCTTCATAGAAATTCAATTTACGACTTTTTCGATAAAACTGTAACTGACACATTCTTACAAAATTTTATAAAATTACTAAGGATTAAACTATATATTTATTACAATTGTAATTTGCTTGTTATTCGTAGGCACCTATAATGTACATTATAGGCCCCTACATTATTTGTAATCGTCAAGAACGATATAAAAGCGAAAATGTCTTTGTTGCTTAGTCGGCGATTTTTCCTATAGGGATAGCTTAGGTGTAGGTCAGAGAGTAACAGTCTATTATTTATTTCAATCATTTATTGTTATAAATTGTGGTGATTGGCTTTTACGCGTGAATGGAGGAATCACTTTGGAGTTGACTTTAGATATTTGAATCTAGCATTGATAGTTTAGTACCTGGGTGACCGAGCTTCGCTCGGAGTTCTTTTTGTTATATCGTATTTTTAAGATAAAAAAAACTTGAATAAATACAAAAAAATAACAAAAGTAAAAACTTTGTATACGGCCGGGATTCGAACTTGGACACCTGTGATTGTTAATCTTGCGCATTGGCCGCTAGACCACGATGCTTATGCTCGAGCGTGCGAAAAAAGGCGACCTTATTTTGCGTGGAATAATGCGAAAGGAAACCGCATGAAAACTCGAAAACACGCGTTTTCCCAGACATAAGACTAATCTAGATCGATTTTTCGCCCCCGAAACCCCACATATACCAAATTTCAGCGAAATCGTTAAAGCCGATACCGAGATAGCCGGTATAAATAATTATACAAGAATTGCTCTTTTAAACATATTAGATTTTTTATCATTAAGATTTCCATACTATACGACATATATACAGATGACTGTTATACTGTTAAAACTAGTACTGATGACATTTTATATTTATTACCTTCGATGTTTGATTGGTTATAAATATTGAATCAACTTTGTTTATTATGCCGTTGATTTCAAAGCATTGTGACGCAGGTTTAGAACAAACTTTATTCGCAAAGTTTGTTATTTTACTTTTATTTTTAAAGAGTTTAATATACAGGGTCAAATGTATATGAATCCTCCCAGAACTTGTTATTCAAATTAATGCATTGACTAAAGAAACAACTTGATAGTAGGTACATATTTATTGTACTGTCTGTACCTGCTCTGTATTTTGTAAAACGTAAACAAAACTATAATGCGTATAAAAATTACCATCTATCGGAATGATATTTATCAATTTTTATTAGAACAGAAAGATTCATATACTCTTTATTAAGTACTAGTACTGCTACATAAACTAAACTAGGAACTATGTAGTCCTTAAAAAAAGTTTGGTTAAAACATGCAACATACTTTTCCGTCTATTGTACGCTGAATCTAACAATCACTGTTTGTTTCAACAGATAGTTTTCTTTTGCGAATATTAATCAACATCTAAAAATAAATTTATATATATGTAAAATACTTAAATAATTAAAAAAATCCCCGACCATCTTGGACAGATTTTCATCAAAATCGGTGCATCTGTTTGGGAGCTACGATGCCGTAGACAGACACAAACAAACACAGACACGCCAAACTTATAACACCACGTCGTTTTTGTGTCGGAGGTTAAAAACAACATGAAACGAAATTATTAAAAACGCTAATGGAAAATTTTATGTAACCGATATAACACCGTGAGGACTTCAGCCATTTAAATTTGGCCTTGAATAAACAAGTCTGTCTTAAATTGCAGATATAACTTAGATCCGGAACCCGATAATATATATTCTTTTAATCGTACCAACAACAGTTACATATAATACGTTTTTTTTATGCGAATATTTGGAATTTTATAAATAAAACTAATTTTTCGGATTTTGTCTAAAATTATTTTCTCGGATTTTATGTTGTGATCTTACTTTGATTTTCTGCTTCCGACGTTAGTTACGGAAAAGACTAAGGTTTTGTCGTTTTAAAAGTCATAGCTTTTACAGACGGACCCATAAGCTTATACAATAATTTAAAAGAGAATGAGAAAAGTAGAACAACGAGTATGTACTGGCATTGACTTTATTTTTTTAAAGATAGATTTGTTTGAAATTAAAAAGTCCCATGAGTAATTTAATGTATGTTGCAGGGCAAGAACTGATGGCTTCCTATTTTAATTTAATAAGAGAATCAGGTCACTGTACAGTGGCAAAAATCAAAACGGTAGAGTGGAAGTTATCTCGTGTGGGGTGGTGGGTACCTAAACAACATCACGAATTCATCCCATGTATTTGCCCACTTCATAACAGAACCCCCTTAGATCTATTACGGTATGCCTAAAATTTCGTATTATAATATTTATCATATTTGAATTTAACTTGTAATTTATAGTGAAAATATGGTAATATTTGATTTATATAAAACTAGCGACTCATACTCGCTTAGCTCGTCTTCGTCCTTAGGCTTCCCCATACAAACTTTCACCCTAATTTTACCCCTTTACGCAGTACCGTCTTTACCATAAGGGCACACGGGGCACCAGCTTAAGGCCCCCAGCCTCAGAAGGGCCCCGCAAAGACAAATATTCGTTTACATGGAACAGAGAGAAGTTTGATTTTTCGCCTATTATTACTCTATGAACTATCTTTTTTTTTAATTATACATATAAAATCAGACCAGGTTTCGTAATATTTTTAAAACAGAAAACATTTCACAAAGAAAATAAAAAAAAGCATCTATAGTGAAACTGCGTCCTTTCTGCTGAATAAAGATCTGAGTAAGCTGTGTGAGATTATTAGAATAAATAAAACTATCTTGTTATCAGACCCGTTGCTACTAATTTACTGCTTTAATTTTTGCCGTTAGGTAAATATTGTGGTGGATTGGGGCCCTTTTGTTTAATTTAACAAAAGGGCCCCAAAATTAATGTGTGCCCAAGGGCCTATGCGTGGCTTAAGACGGCCCTGCCCTTAACGGACGATTTCCGGGATAAAAACTATGCTATGTCCTTCCCAGGGTCAACAGGTCAAATTATCTTCTACTACTACTCCTAAACATCTAAATCGGTTCTGCACTTTCGGAGCCTATTCGATACAAGCAAACAAAAAAGAAACAATTTTATCCTCTTTATAATATAAGAATAAATTAACATTCATTTGCCATTACTTTTGAACTATAAAAGGGACACTGATTTCTAAATTACATACATGAATTTACTTTCATTTGTTCTACACTTTGAAGTGGATTTATTTTGAAAATGTATTAAAGTACTAGAGACTCACTCTCGCTTCGCTCGGATTCGTTCCTAGCTTGATTCCCCATAAAAACTTTCATCCCCATTTTCACCCCCTTAAAGGATGATAAAAAGTATACTATGTCCTTCCCAGGGTCTCAAACTATCTTCTTACCAAATTTCATCTAAATCGGTTCAGTAGATCCAGAGATTACCCCCTACAACGTCACAAACTCACAATTCACAAACTCACAAACTTTACGTCTTTATAATATTAGTATAGATTAATTATATGTACATATAATATAGAGTATGCTGAGGTTAATAACCGTAGTATTTTTATTGGCCAAGGATTCAATTGGAAAAGAAAAAAATGACAGCAGAACAGTCCGAGGCTGATGCTCTACTGGGTAGAATTGATACTGTGGAAGACATAACAAAACTTCGAAGCAGTCAAGATGAATGAAAATGAGACTTTTTGATTAAATTATAATATTATGCATATTTATGAAATAAATACAAACATTTTTTTTCAAATGTTCATTTATTATGTAACTTATAAAGACAATGTAAAAAGCTATTTACAGTATACATATAATTAAATAATTATTGCTTTCAACAATATGAGCAAATTCGTTTCTTGTACCATCTTCGTTTAACCCCATAAAATGACTTCTGCCACCTATAAATCATCTTTTGTAGAAATTAAATTATAATAATTTAGTCAGTACTGGTATCACATGATATTACCTCTAAATACTGCAAAAATGTGCACACAGTTACAGATGTAGGATATATAAGATTTAATAAATTAATAGTATATTAAAACGCTTTCGCTGCTCGCTTGCGAGGTTCTAGGCGTACTTTGAATCCTTCGGCACGCTTTAATATGATGTCGGCCTGTAGTTTGAAGTCCGACTCCTTAAGGTCTGAGATCACGCGGAAATTCCTCAGGATGGTAGAGAGAATGATCTTCAACTTCAACATGGCGTATTTACGACCTGTTAAAGGTTGAAATTTATTCTAAATCTGTTGTTATAATATTATGTTTTATATTATATATATAATAATAACTTTAAATTTGTGTTTATTTATAAACATAAAAACATAAATATTTAACATAACACAAATAAATAATATAGCTATTAGGTATTTTGAAAAAGTACTTCTACTCTCCACACCAGAATTATCTGTTTCGTAATAGATATTAAATGATAATATCCTTACTTTATTAGTACTAATATATTACTGTCTACTGTGACAGTGATATTTGATCTCCATTTTAAGTAATATTTTGTGTTTATTAGGTATAATTCTCCATCTATGAAAATTATATGAAAAAAGTTATATTTCACGGTTATAAAGACTATATAAACTCACCAACACAACTCCTTGGCCCAGCAGAGAAAGGAACGAAGGCGTAGTAGTGACGGTTGGCAGAACGTTCAGGAAGGAAGTTGTCAGGGTTGAATTTGTTAGGCTCTGGGTAGACATCCTCGCGGCGATGTAGCTTGTATGTTCCGATTACAATTGTTGTTCCAGCTGGTACTTTCTTACCATTGGAAGCTATGGGAATGGATATTATATGGTCAACTTAAACTTCTTGTATCTTTAGATTTTATAACTAAACGAATTATTTTGCCTAATTGAAATGTTTTAAATCAAATTAAAAGGTTGTTTCATTCATATTAATAAACTATTTATTATTTGTGTATTGTGTATAAATCAGGGCAAATGTAAAAGGTAAACTTAGTAGCAATATTGATCGCATAGATACAATCAAATTATAACGATATTGTAATGCATATTGTTATTATTAATGATTTCACTTACGCAATGTAATGTCTTGATTAAGATGACGGGCGATAATTGGCACAGGGGGGAATAATCTAAGAGTTTCCATAAGACATCTCTCTAAGTATTTCATTTCCAGTGTGTCTTGGAAGGTGGCTGGACGGTCAGAGTCACCGAAAATTTGATCTAACTCTTCAACAACTTTCTCTTGGATGTCTTGGTGAATTCCCATTAATGATAAGAAGAAACTGCTTCCAGCAGCGGTAGTGTCATGTCCCTGAATATTAAAAATACCGATAAGCATTATTTATATATTTCATATACAGAATATGATAATAAGAGCAAAAACTAAATGTAAACATGCTAGAGTATTTTACCTAGTAAGTAAAACTATCGTTTTAGTGATGTGATATATCGTTATACAAACCTCGAACATAATAGTGTCCACTTGTTCTTTGATTTCCACGTCTGAAATTACCACTCCACCTTGAGCACTCTCAAGGAGCAGGTCAAGGAAAGCAAGACGTTTCTTCTGTCCTACGTCTTCATCAACATCCAGATCATCCTTTAGTCCAGCAGATTGACCAAACGACAAGCCTTCGACGGAAGTTACTTTCGAAGATATGTCTTTGGTTTCAGTTTCAACGATGACAGGTTTCTTACCAGATTTAAATTCTTCCTTCTTCCTGCGTATAACCTTTATAAAATTAAATAAACATATATTATTTATTGTAAAACTCATTGATAAAAAATATAATCTGTGCTTATTAAACGTTAAGAAATTTCAACGTTTATAGAAAGTAAAAATACCTTTGTTGTTAAACCGTGAATGACATCAAGAAGTTTGTTTTGTATCTTAGCGTACTGAGTAAAGTTGAACAACAAGTCGGGTCTAAGCCAGATCTTGGCGTGTCTCATATGCAAGATATCACACATCTTCATTACAGCCATAGCGTATTCAAATCCACTTTCTTGAGTATTTTTACTTACACCCATAGCAGTTTCTGTAAGAAAACATAAAGTATTGAATATAATACTTTCTTAGATTTACGCGAATATTTGACATTTTAAATGAAACTATCTTTTCGGATTTTTTTCTCGACGTTTCGAATGCTTTACCGCATTCATGGTCATTCAATGTCTCTCCCGTGACCATGATTGCTGTAAAGCATTCGAAACGTCGGGAACCAAAAATCCAAATAAATCCGCGAATAAATCCGAAAAGATAGTTTCATTTAAAATAAACTATTGAACTTAAGTTTTGCCTTCATTACATTTCACTTTTCGTAATCATATTATAAGTAATAACAAGTCTATATATTCTAGTGGCCCTATATGGCGATTATCGCCCATTAGCATTACGTGCAGTTGCGGGGGGTCGCTAAACTTGACACCTAATACTACTATTCACTTTTCCTTATGTCATCATGAATCACTTAAACGTGATACGCGTTTTATATTGAGGTCAATGTTGAAATAGGTCGCATGTTTTTTTTGTTGTTATTTTTATTTTCTGTTTTGATTTTACAAAATTGAAGAATATATATTTTGTAAATTAATTTTATGTAAAATATGTAACAAAAAAGCGTATAAACATTTTTAAATAAAAAACTTGATTGAATTAACAAGGACAATGGACGCTTGTTATTATAAATTACAAGGTATTATACTAGGAAACAGTATTGTAATAGCTGTATTTTTGCCTTGCTTTAAAAATGTATATGGAGTAGTAGCGTTGTTTCAAGAACAAGTAAGATAGGACAAGGCGGCCAACGTTGTCGGTAACTAACATACGTGACTTGATATACAAATTGTCTCACATTTAAAGCCTACGAAATGGCTAATCCCTGAGATAATGATCAATATAATGACCGCGTTAAAAATTATGAAGGTAAACATATTTGAAGTGTCAAATTTTCTTTAAAAGTAGCGAAATATTAATATTAATAAAGATAAAAATTTAAAATGTTATGTTTATTTTGTCATTTTTTATGTGTATTTTTTGTCCTTTAATTATATTTTCTTAGAAGTTTGAGAAGTTTGGTATATTACAAAAAATTATATCAATTTGAGAAGAGTTAAATATTTTAATTACACTCAATTCAATTCAATTCTGTATTTAATAGATTTATACTGAATAACACTACGATACTACAGCTGCCATTAAGTAAATGTCCGCGGTAAAAAGTAGCCTATGTCACTTTCCAGTAGCCTCGCCACCCGTCCTATATTATATAGTACGAAAAATACTACATTTTCATCTCTAACTCAACTGAAAAATTATTTAAATCAAAGAAAAATCTCCCGGGGTGATAAGTAAGATTGATAGTAACCTATTGTTATTTCTTGAGAAAAGTTTAATTTATTTAAATAAATGGTTTGATTATAAATGAAAGTCTCGTCAAAATCAGTCCAGCCGTTTCGTAATTTTAATTGTAAAATAAATTGTGATTTATCTGTATAGACAAGTAGGTAATATCAGTATTTTTTGTTTAATTTGCACATCCGCTTTATGGCCTTCAAACAGTGGATTCAAATTATAATTCAAAAATAATTAAATTAATTACACCAAATATTTTAAAAGTTCATCATAATAAATATTATATGTATCTTTTAAATAATCATATAAAATGTGGAATATGTTCCATCTTATTTCGCCTTGTACTAATTACAAAGTAACAAAAACTTATTACGAATCATAATTGCTAGGTTAAGTGTCAGTTAACTCTACGAGTATACACTGTTTCGACGGATTCTAGTAATGTTCCAAATAGAGATAGTTGATATGTTTATTTTGCTTGTCGATATATTATACACGATAAACGCGGGCACAAACTAGTTTACTGTAAAATGTCTTCTTGGTCATTAAAATATTTTTATATTTTTAAACCCGAAATAAGCCATATGGCCCTATGCATTATTATACTTATAAACAAACTCAAAAAATCTAACATAATATATATTTAAAGAAAAAACATGTTTTGCTATATTATTATTTAGTTCAATGTTTTATTATATTTATATAGTGCTTGCTTTAAATTAGATACAGGTATGATTTTAGAGCGAAATTTCAGTAAATTAATTTATGGAATTGTCTTTGTAGCTTAGAGTGGAACTTTATATCTATACATATAATAAAATTGTAACTAAGTCGAATCTGTACATTAAATATTTTTTGGAAAATCTTATTGAAATAGACACTATTATCGATACCGAGGCCAAATCTATAGTTTTTTAGAATTTTTGTCTGTCTGCCTGTCTGTCTGTTACCGCATCACAGAAAAACCACTGGAGGGATTTTGATGAAATTTGGTATGGTGATAGCTGGTTATCGGGGTCAACATATAGGATACTTCTAACCGCGGGGAAATGTCTCATTTTTGAGAAAAAAATACAAAAACTGCAATGTAAGAGTATATTAATATGTAAAACCTAAGAATTTGGCTTTTGGTCATTTGAACGCGGGCGGAGTCGCGGGCAATGCTAGTTCTAAATATAATTAATAAGTTTGACTTTGAATGAACCTTCACAATATTTAAAAGTTAATTTTCACACGGTCTGTTGATTTAGAATTGTTTTGGTGTTTTTTCTATTTCACTCACCAAGGAGGATCTCGACGGTACATTCACTCATGTAATCATGGCAATCGAATTCTCCAGCTTCTTTCTTCAATTTGTCAACAACAGCTCTGGAGTTGGCGTTGAAAAGATCAATGAAACTCTTCAAGACATTTAAATGGAAAGTAGGAGCGATCAATTTACGATGAGAACGCCATTTTTGACCTATAATAAAATTACAAACATGAGCTACACTCACTTTATCATATATACCTACTTAACATTACTAGCTAATAGGTAATACAGCAATTTGTCCCAGCGCTATTAAAACAAGTTATGGCGATTCGGACTGTCTTCTAACCATATAATCAAACATTAGTAGAAAGCAAAGATTGGTGTTTATTATGTGGTTAGATATTGCATAACAAAAATAGGGAGATCTAACCTTTAAAATATAAACAAACCTAATTAGTATTCAATTGATTCACTGCAATGTTTTAGATTGAAGACTATCTTTGCAAGCTACTATGTGTATATGTACATATGTATATGTAAACTAGCGGACACGACAGACGTTGTCCTGTATACACGTCTTTAATTTGAAAATTTCAAACTTTTTTTAATAATTTTTTTGATGAAAATTATTATTCAAATTGTGAATCTAAACCATTCCCAGATCCCCTTGAACACACACAAAAAATTTCATCAAAATCGGTCCAGTCGTTTGAGAGAAGTTCAGTGACATACACACTCACAGAAGAATTATATATATAAAGATAAAGATACGTATGTAGGTATATTTATAAACTTATCTACAAGGTGTGCTTAATACGTAATTATCTTTTAAATTGAGACGTAGTTTAAATTGAGATGTAATTATGACTAAACTATATAAAGTTTTTATATACATTTTTTTTTATATTTATTTATGTTTATGTTAGGTATATAAAACATTAACAATTACATTTATGAAAAAAATAATAAGAAGTGTCTTATCAACAATTTGCATTTACCAGTACTAATGAGAAGACCATCTCCTAGCCATGGCTTAAAGAACCTGTAATCTTCGGCTTTGTCAATATGCACGTGGCTACTTAGAATAAGTTCAACGTCACGAGGGTCGTACAGGAACACAAGAAGTCTGGGTCCAATCCAAATCTTAACGGCGGGTTCTTCCTTAAATTCTTCACTTCTTTCAACGATTCTTTTGAAGATATCTGTTAAATAACAAAATGAATACTTATTTTTATTGTACAAATATTTTAGTAATAAATGGAATATTTGCATCATCATGCTATTTTATTATAGCACGATCGTATCTAGTCATTTGATGTATTTAATGAAATAGTTTTATCATTTACTTTATTTAAAACCTCGTTAAAGTTTTGAGGTAAGCGGTTTTTCGGACCGACTAATGATAGCCAAGGATTACGATTAGGGTTGTTCTGCACCCATCCGATTATTGGCTGAAAAATATTTTGTATTGAAGCAAGCAGATGGGTTATGTAATGAAAAATTCTAATAATATTAATAACCTCTATTTTTTGTGATGTAAATGTTAGCAATTTTTTTAGCTATGGTTGATTTTAATTGTCCATGGATGGTAAGACGCTTAATGAGGTAACATTTAAAAACTGAAGTCCCAAAAAAAAGCTTAATGGATAGTTACTAACAATAATTAAAATAAACGTGCTATTGCTATAGTATAACCTTACTATAGTATAAAATTTATTGTAGAATAAAATTCAAAATAAGTTATTTTTATGGAAAGTTAAAACGTATAAATATATTGGAATAAAATAAATGAAACTACACTATGATTTTAATAATAGTAAAAAATATATAATATAAAAACAAAAGCTATCATTATATTTGCACTGTCTGCAGAATCACGGTTTCTAGGTCGACACTCTCATAGAGCAAACGTTTGTATTGATTATACGACTTCTAGTTTGATCCTTGATTAGGGCTAACGTACAGAGAGTAGGGTCGAACGTAATTAAATCGATCCTTCAAAATGTCGACTCCAAAAAAACTTGATATACATAATACATGAACTTACCAGCTGAGCCGCCAGTGAATTCTAAAGCATTTCCGAGGAGTGGATAACCTTTGGGCCCCGCGAGCTTTTCGGCGAGTTCATATAGATGTCTCCTAGACATACGCCAGTAGGTGTACCACAAGATGATTGCTGGCACTAATAGCACGTAGAACAGGTTTGTAGCTGCCCATGTACTGCTTCCGACGGCATTTTCGGCAGCGGTGTAGCTCATTTTGAGTTTTTACTATTAGAAAATATATGACTTAATCAATAATAAATTAGGAAAATGTAATAATAATGTCTAAATATACGTAAAATTCCGCGAAACAGAATCTATAGGTTCAGTGATCCATCACGCAATTCCTCGTAAAATTAATTATTTTTTTTATTTATATATACAATGTATATGTTACATGGTTTTTTAAATATAGTTTGTAATCAATCATTCAATAGTATTTAGGTACAAAAAAATTTCCAATACACAAAGTAACAAGAATTTATTTTTTAATACAACAAAACATTCTAAGAACTGAATAAGCCGCCAATAATGGAATATTTCAATAATACGTACATACATACATATATGTAATAATCTACAAACTATGTAAATAAGACAGATGCAGGGTGTATTTTTTATTATAAAAGATACGTTCACTTATTAAGTATATTGTGAATTATATAAGTTAAAACAGACACTTAGATTTTAGTGACTGAGAATCAAGTGTTAAATATAGTTAATATTTTGCGCGGAAGGCTAACCCTTTTTATTAAATAAAAGAAGGCTAAGTTACTCCTTATAACATCAACTATCTGCCAGTGAAAGTCCCGTCAAAATCGATTTAGCCGTTTTGGAGATAAGCCGGAATAAACAAACAGACAGACAGAGAGACAGACAGATAAAAAAAATTAAAATGGTTTAAAGTACCGTTTATATATATGTACTTTGATATGTATTTAGTAAAAAGCTGTTTTTTTGATATTACAAAGAGACACTTCAATTTTATTTATCTGTATAGATGTATAGATAAAGCTAAAAGCTTGAGTTAAAGATATTCTTGAATTATAATATTAGATATTTCTTACACAAAACTTATATATATTTGAAGTTAAACCATTAATCCTAGGATTATTTCTTACATTTACTCACTTTATAATATCTTTAAGGCATTACAGAGAAATAGTTAAAATTAAATATTCCAGTTAAGTTCCTGCGTAATGGAAATTTTGCAGTATTAATCATAACTCTAGATCGCTTCCAAAGCAAGGTTAAAAATCAAAGACTTGAACCGTGTAGGTATCGATTACAAACATACTAGTTGTTGTTTTACCTCACTTTTGTTCTAGAATGGAAAAATTGATTTTAAAATTAGCCAAATTAATTAAGTATGTAATTAGATTTTTGACGGAATTTTTTGAAATAAAAGATGATTGTTCCATTTCATTTTTTTTTTACTTTTCAATATAAATAATTATGTACATATCGTATGGATTCTTTAGAACGAAGAAGCTATAATTAATGCTTACAAAAAATAACATTGTAACTTTTGAGATATATTTAGTTTTTATTAATATTACGAAGACTGCTATTAATATTATTCTCACATTCATATAACAATTTACCACGGAGTTCTGAAGACTAACTTTTGTTCTTTAAAAGGATATATTTTTTTGTTAAACTGGTTTACTGGTACCAATTTTTGTTTTTTTTTTTTGTTGTAACTATATGTAAAATTATGATTGAAATGTTAAAAATAGTCTTTATTATCAATACAGAGGCCGAATCTATATAGTTTTTGAATTTTTGTCTGTCGGTCTGTCTGTCTGTCTGTCTGGGACGGATTTTGACGAATTTGGTATCCGGGTCAACATTTAGGATTATTTTTACTGCGGGAAAATATCTCATCTCTGAGAAATCTATATTAACTGTTAAAACGTAGGGACGAACCCGAGCAAAGCGAGGGTGAGTCGCTAGCTATTAAATAAATATCTTTTCAATTTAACAATACACGATTAAGTAGAAAAATATTATAACTTTTAAAATAGTTTTCATATAAATTTATTTTTTCTTAATTAAAAAAATATAAGTTGTATTAATGTAAAACTTTTTCAATTATTAACGTACCTCCATGTACTACTTAAATGTATGCAGGAATACATTATTTATACGGCATAAATATATAAAGCTTTAAATAATCTGATTTCAACATTGTTGTTTTTTATATAGTAAACTTACCTACAGTGTAGTAGTTTGAGAAATATTTCCGTCAGATGTATATTAAAATGAAGGCTAAAAAGTCTTTAATTTGTATTTTTACTTTATTTAACAGAAGTAATAATTGATAATTAAATATAATATTAATATTTAAGTGCTACTGAAAAAGACTCTTTAAACGAGTTTATTATTAAAAGTTTAGTAATTATTTAAAAGTTCGCAAAAAGTGAATTATAGTATGAACAAAAACTGCTGGTTTTTAACAAAAAAAGTGTATGAATTAAAAAGTGTTGCTTGTCTTTTTTATTGAAGTTCAGCTAATTTTATGTTTATTCATTATAGGTATTAAACTTGATGTAAAAATTAACACGTTCAACTATTTATTTGAACGTACTATAGACTTTTAAATACGTGATTCTATTTTGTTGGATGCTGATGTGTGAGAATGTTATATGACTGTTTATAATTTGTACTATCTTTTTTCTGTTGAAGGTTGAAACCACTGCCAGTAAAAATATAAATATATAAAAATATGAACAGTAATAAATCACTTCAAAATATAGAATAAAAGAAAAGGATGATAGCGAATTTTTTTTAATTAATTTCGTTACATAGAGAGCATTGTTAGAGTTAATTAATTAATATATGTTACAGGTTAATAAAATTTTTGAAATTATAAATTTTAAAAATTTTTAAAAATATGTGAAAGAATGGGATTTTGTTACATTTTTTTTGCAACAATAGCAAATTTTAAATTACTTTAAATATGTATTAGTAAAAATAACTTTGTAAAATAAACATTAATTTTCAATATAATATATTGCGTAGGTACATAAATAATAATTTTGATGAATTATTTCAATTCTAAGTGAAAAAAGTCAGTATTTTATTCAAATTACTTATGTAAAGCTTATTTATATATATGTATCATATCTATAAAATTTGTATTATTATGTAGAAATAAAATGAAAAATATATATAATAATCTTACAAAAATAAGTCACGTTTTAATTATTTTAATTTAAGCTATAAATGCAGTATTTATGTGTTAACATTTATAATAAAATATTGTAATGCATAAAATAAAATAATTTTAATGTAAAAATTAAATTTTACCTTTACTTATGTGCAATTTAATTGAACACCACTTTAAAATACACAAAATAGAGAACATAAAGTATGATATTTTTTCAATTTTTTTAAATGAAACCACCACCAATAAATAATTAAACTTTAATTTTCAAGTTAACAATTTAAAAATATTTTTATGGCCCCTACCTTATCCCCGGATCACGTGGGCCAGATACATAAACTAAAATATAGAGCTCTTTGAGGGATGCTAACCGCGTCTCAGTTCCAACTATTTATTATACTCCCGCGCTACCACCTATATACACGCTTGTGACGTCATGACGACGACAGCACGTGAGCATCTACTTCATACTAATAGTTTAAATGTATATATAGTTTAAATATATAACTTTCTATAAGAGCCGTACTCGCTTAATATAATAAATATTAGATAAATAGAATATTGATGCTTCGTTATAAGGATTACGATCTTGAGATTTTGGATTCGGGTCCCGACCTGGGACTTATAGGGGTTTTTTCTGTCATAAAATTATAAATATGCACCTGGAGTATGACGTTTATGTAATAATTTTGTTTTTTACAACAACAAAAATGCAACTAAATTATTCTATTTGTTGTTGTTACTGTTTACCGCTTCGTCCCTGACGATGCAAGACCCGCAATTTGAATCTGTGTCACTTGGTTTTCCAAGTAAGAGCGTTACAAGTTACCACTGTGCTACTACTCCAGGCATATAAGGTAACGCCAATTTTCAAAATATGATAATAATATTTAATATTTATATAAATGGTACCACTAAGTTAAATAGATATCTAGATAGTTTTAGTCCAATCGGAATCCGGTTTGCGAACAAACAAATTAAAACCTGAAGTTTTATGGTTTTAAAACAGGTATATAAGGAATAGAAATTCGTAAAATACCCCCGATATCCAGCTACCTTAGTTAAAAAATAGTTTTTTTTCATTTACTGTGAGGTTTTATCGAAAAAAAATCTACGAAAATAAATCTACAACTTTTACAGATGACACTTTTTACAATAACCTCAAAGTTTTCCATATATGTACATTAAATATTTTCTTGAAAAATGTTATTGAAATTGTCATTATTATCAATACAGAGACCAAATCTACAGTTTTTAGAATTTTTATCTATCTGTATATCTTGGAAAGCACCACCGAGACCGAGAAAACCACTGGACAGATTTTGATGAAATTTGGTATGATGATAGCTGGTTATCCAGGTAACATATACTATATTATACTTTTTAGCGCGGGAGCGAGGGTGAGTCGCTAGTAAGTACATATTTTTAAGAGTTTTAACTTTTGGAAATTAAGTATAATTCTTATTTCAAAACTCTCGTTATAATTATAAAATATTAACAATATACAAACTTGCCTCTTATTACTGTATCCACCTGTATTTAGTTAACTTCGTCATTGAGGTATGAAAATACGGTCGTGTGTGTTCTTGATATTTTATCGCCTTCAGTAAATTTTACTTTATATTCTCACGAGACCAGGATCTTGTTGTAACCCACCTGTTATATCAGTATATACCGGATAAACTAATTACATTAGGTGTATAGGCCAAATACATAGTAATTAAATAACATTACAGTCATATCTATGGCAATTCCATTGAGTTGTTGCATGTATAAGCTAGCATCAATGTATAACTACAGTAGGACATACTCGTGTGTATTTAAATATAATACTAGCAGAGCTCGCGCCTCCGCTCGCTCTAAAACTACAAAAAAAAACTCTAAAAACGTATGTCTCGTACAAACTTTCATCCCCTATTTTAACCCCTTATGGGATGAATTTCGAAAATGCTGAAACAAGTATTTACTTAATTGTATTGAAAAGCATTAATACCAAGTTTCAAGTAATTCTGATTATATTTTTTGGGGTTGTATTATATAACGTGTT